GCTCCATTGATAATAAATTGGAAGGAGTTTCGTCATGTCATTAAATATACTCTTTCATTTTATCTTAAAAATTGGTGTAAGCTGGAAAAATCGGAAAGAAAGTCAGTGAAGTCTTATCTTAAGAAATATCTGAGAATAGTGGATATATGCGTATCTTATTTAAAAAATAAATAAATTAATAATCAATCAAAGGGTAAGTTATACGCTCATTTCTAGTACTTGCAAATCGTTTTGAGTTCCAACCGTCCACCCAAACTACCGTTAATGGGGTATTGGTATGACGTAAATACTTCACTGTTTTTTAGAAAATAATTATAAATTTTCCTACATTCACCCGCTGCATATAGAGTTAAAAAGTTATCAACTATCTAATTATCAGTTTAATGTTATACCACCTCTGAACAATTCAAACATGTTTGCGGGCAATCATAACCAAGCACAATATAAGAACAATTTTTATAAAAATCAGTCGAAAAGGGATTGACTCATCAGATCGAGAGACAGCACAAAAAAACAGTAGTATACCGCTGGTCGATAGTCATAAAACGATTAAACGAAAACAAATCCGGACATTCAAACTCATAAGTCGGAAATAAACTGACAAGGCCATGGTAAAAAAAGACAAAAAGACAAACAGCAGTGCAAAAACACAACATAAAAAACTAAAGACTGAGCAAAAACGTTTGATCCTACTGCCTGTCGAATACGTTTTACTTATATTTCGGCATTGCACGAGGTCATATTTTTTCTCAGATTTTTTATAACGTTTTTACATTACATCCGTTGAATGTGTACTGACTGATACTTTAGTCTGGGACAACATGATTTATTCATGATCTGTAATTTGCTTTGAACTAGATTATTGGTCTGAGCGTTCCTGATAAAGAAAAATCCAAAAAAGCACTTTAAGGATGTACTTAGGTCAGGTTTAGGACTTTTTGTCAGATGTTGCGGACTCCTTGGTTCTTTTCTTACGATACAGGCTAAAATATTTGCCCCATTACAACGATTTTTCTTTTCATATAGGACTTCAAAAGCTCATAAAAGGTCATTTACCAATATTTAAGCAGATTATAGATTTCTTTTCTTTCGATTTGAGACCCAAATAATATCAAAGCAAATAAATATAAGGTAAAAGTCAGCCTTTTTTCGCCATTTTAAAAAAATGAGATATTTCGAAAAGGAGCTCCATAACCTATCAATATTCTTAGCTTATTTTGTTCCTTAACTAATGCTCTTCTGACTTATAGTATCAATTTTAGTTTCAAGATTTTTAAATTTCACCTAAGTACATCCTTAAACGAAATTTAAAGTTTGTTTTGTGCTATCTTATAAAAAATACATACTCAGTTGGTGTTAGCTTGGTGCTATAAGACGTGTAAGATCCATTACCTTTATTCACAAACAATATTACATTCATGAAAATAATAAAAAAAACATATCCTGTCCAGATATCATTTATGTATAAACAAAAAAGGAATTAAGTCGAAAATTACGGTTATATCAGTATGGTTGTAAGATTTAATTTCATTATGAATAAATATTACTGCGCATTTATCTAATATAGGTAATATTTCTTCTCCCTTCGAGAAGGTTAATTAGAAATAGAATACAGTCAAGAACATTAACATTAATATACTTTATTAAACTGTTTAATTTAGTTGAGATACATTTTAAATTCTATCACATAACATATTTTTTATAACACTCTTTCTTGTTAAAAAAATCAATGTCGTGTTATGTTGTGTCTCCCTTTGTTAGCCTTAATCTCACCATGACGTTTTAACAAAAAACATTTAACTGAAGGCATTTTGTTAAACAGAACATTTTTTAAATCCCTTTGTGTCAGTGTGTACCAAAATGATATCAGGTTTATAATGTTCTTAACAATGCATGTATTATTGTCATTTTGTTTATTTTCTTTTGTTTCCAATTCTGACATCGGACTCAGACTTCTCTTATACTGAGTTTTACTGTGCGTACTGTTGTGCGTTTGTTTTTTTCTACATTGGCTAGAGGTATAGGGGAGGGTTGAGATCTCCAAAAACATGTTTAACCCCGCCGCATTTTTGCGCCTGTCCCAAGTCAGGAGCCTCTGGCCTTTGTTAGTCTTGTATCATTTTTAATTTTAGTTTCCTGTGTATAATTTGGTGTTTAGTATGACGTCCATTATCACTGAACTAGTATACATATTTGTTTAGGGGCCAGCTGAAGGACGCCTCCGGTTGCGGGAGTTTCTCGCTGCATTGAAGACCCATTGGTGGCCTTCGGCTGTTGTCTGCTCTATGGTCGGGTCGTTGTCTCTTTGACACATTCCCCATTTCCATTCTCAATTTTATGTCACTTCTTTTCATTTTAATGGCTCTTTTCTTATTTTCTGATATTTATAAGCCTTAATATTATACCGGTAACATTGTTAGTAAATATGTTATGCATAAAAATATATATATTGTAATATACAATAGATAAGAAGAAAACCTTTTAAGTGTGAAACACTTGTGTCTTACCCATCGTTTATTAAATCTGAACGGCGAAAAGAAATAGTAAAGTCGTGTGGTAGTAAGTGATACAATAACTTCAAAACGTTAAGCAACAAACTGAAAACGTGTCGTAAACCATAATTTGATCTATTTTTTACATTTCCTTTACAGAAAATGGTCGCATCAATGTCTTTTTCATGTCAAGACAAAGTGCTGACTACAGAACTTGTTTTTTCTCGTTGATGCCAGTAGCAGTTGTATCTATTCATTGACTGTGACATAAGTCAAGATATATATCGGAAGTACGCAAGTCGCAAAAAACAAGCCGTGCAAACATGACATTACTTGTGTTGCGATTCCTGAACAAGTATTCTATATACAAAGCAGATATATGATGAGGCTACTTTTTTGCCACATGAATTCGAAAATTACAAAGTGTAAAACATTCATTCGAAACATCTTTCAGATGTTTATGAAACCCTTATCTGCCATAACCTGTTATACTATAGATAAGAAAATGTGGTATGAGTGCCAATGAGACAACTCTCCATCCAAGTCACAATGTATAAAAAGTTAACCATTATAGGTCGATTACGGCCTTCAACGCGGAGCCTTGGCTCACACCGAATAGCAAGCTATAAAAGTCCCCAAAATGACTAGTGAAAAAACAATTTAAACAGGACAAACATAAGCCTGGTAGCTATGACGAGTTATACGCCAAAGGTAACACTTAAGGATTCTGACGTATATGACTGCACAAGGTTTTGATACTTCTCACGTATAGTACAAAACTGCAAAAACGGCCAGAGAAGTCTGGTTATGAGATATTTTCATTAGAATTTATATACATGTACAAGCTAAGGTTTCCCCGAACAAAGATAGTTGGCTACAAGATGTAAGTTACAAAGATGTGTGTAAAACATTTTATTGGGCCTTGGCTTATATCTTTTTTTCCCAAACACGGAAATTATTAATAAAACGGCCATTTTATTTCAAATAAGTAACTTTCGATATATTTATGTAACCGTTGTTGTGACATCATAATTAATTTTTCTGTACAAAAGTGTACATAATATAAAAAAATGTTCGACGCAAATGTTGTCGTTTTTTTTAAATGTATACGAATATCTGTATCTGTTCTAATACCTTCATTAGAAACATTTCGAAGCGCATGTAACCTGTCGACTTTCTGTCCGTCCTCCAAATAACAGGCGTTTTGGGCGTGGAATTTTTTTTAATTCTCCGTGTTTAGATTAATTATGCTTTTTCTAATTTTTTCAAATGTTTACTTACGATTTTACAATAGCAGTAGTTTATGCGTGCTGTCATAGATTCTTATTTTCCACATAAGAGCAGAAGTACAACACGTATAAACTACTGTTCTTGTAAAATTGTATGAATCGGAAAAAATTAATGAAATCCTTGTTTAGATAAAAAATAATTTGACATAATATTATATCTAAGACATTTCAATGATTATCTAAAACAATTGAAACTCAAAAATTTACAATGCCTCCAATTGCACATGAGTAAAACAGTTGACTTCTTGTTTAACGGTTCATTTAGATATTTCTAGTGGTAAATTAAAGTCGAAGTTGACATATAACGTTTCAATAAAAAAAATCGATAATGATGTCAAGTACTTTTACTATAATTTAAACTTGTATATAAAACTCCTTTTATTCTATTTTTTCATGTAACAATGATTGAATTAGTCAAATTACCCGGACCATATGAGTATATACGTATATGGTTATGACCATACGCGTATTGTCTTAATACTTATATGGTCCTGAACATATACACACATTATGAATATTACTATATCGGACTGCATTAAGACGATAAATTATGTGTGTGTTTTTTTGTTTTTTAGATTGCTAAAATGAATTGTTTACAGTTTTTTAAGGAATTTTAAAATCAAACTATTTAACTCCATAGACGACAGAGATTCTAAGTTTAACATGAGAGATATAACTAATTGATGTCTGATCGCATATTTCAAATAATTAATATAAAGGTCTATTCTTTCAATGTTATATCCATCGTTGTAAAATTCAAAATAATTAATGTAATTTGGAAGATATTATTGACAAGTTCTTATTGTGTTGCTCCTTGTATATATTTGTTTGCGTGTTTTGTTACATATGAATATGCTACAAAATCAGCTGATGTCAACCTGATTCTTTAAATTTGTCTTAGTCATTTTATGAAAAAAACATTATACATAGCAATCAACAAATATTAATTGTACATTTGATAAAATTAAATCAAAACTTACCGTATCATTATATAAATCATTTTGTTATTTCATTGTGTTTATTATCCTTTGAAAGATTTTTGGTGTTTTTTCATTATTACGCAATAACTTATGTGTACACAATTAACGTGTTCGCTTCATGTTATGTTATGTTCCCTCTATCGAGCCCTTCAGTAATTGTATTGTCCACGATCACGCTATCTTGAACATCTATATTAGGTATAATGTTATAGAATTTAAAACCTTTTTTGTGAATACAATATTTTGTATTTCGACAAACCTAAGTCAACTACAGATTGGAATGTTAGGTAAGTGTAGATATAAATTTAAGTAATACATGTACAAAATTTCTTATTCACTTCAAAATTATGAATGTTGTTACATTTGAGGTAATTTTTTTAAGTTGCATTAAAAATTAAAAAATTCACCACCTTCTTATATCATTTTATCGACCCCGATATACAATTAATAGGGAAATTGACCCAATACGATGTAAGGTTTAAAGTTGAAGGTTATGCTCGAAAATCTCCAAGCAACAGGCAACTTTCAGGTCTAATAAATATAAATGTATATTTATTGTAATATCTTAAAAAGTATCTATGTCCATCTTAATTCTGTTTTCCTTTTTTTTATATTTTAACAGACTTATTGATGTGAATATCACATATATTATATATTCGTTTGTTCTTTTGAAGGAAGAACATACAAAATATTAGTAGTTAAAAGATAATATAAAAAGTGCTACTGAGATATCTAAGTAATATCCATTTATTAAAGTTTCATTTTGACGATCAATCCTTGAAAAACTTAAAATTAGATTTTGTACACATGACACATGTTTTCAGTATATGATTTACCAAAAGGTTGGGAAGTCACGAAAGAAATTGTTTGACATATATAATTAACAACGGCGAAAAAAGTTTAAGGTTTAAGCTACGGGTATTTCATTTGTTTACAAGTTCAATAACGTATATAAATATGGAAAACTATAAATAGAAAGGTATCATTTAAATCATGCTTTACTGAAGATAAAAGTCTAGCAACAAAAAGCATATAAATTTGCAATAAAAAAATCAGTGCGCACAACATGTGTTGCTCAGGTAGATTACTACATTGCTTCTTGTTCCATTTAACATTTTTATTCTTAAAATCTATATGAAAATGAGGCAAATTTGAAAATGACACACTATTATGATAAATTTATAACATCGTAAATTGCTCTAGTATTGCATTAATACTCACTAATTTAAAAGTTGAATTTGAAAGACAAATGTCTTTCTCAAAGATTATCGCGATTAATATAGAAGAAGAAGAAGAAGTTGTAAGAAGAATATATGTTCAAACCTATGTGCAACTTAACAAACTGTCTGCTTGGTTTTTATTTGTAAAATATCATACAAGGAAGTCAAAGACATTGACAAAAAGCAATAATTAACATTTAAAATATTGTTATAATTTTCATCATTTCATTCTTACTTTGTTTACGTTGACATTCTTTTAATATAATTTGGGGTAAATTATACTCGTGTTAATAGTTTACTATCACTTATTTTTTAGAGATTAACATTTTATTTCCACCAATATAACAAACAACGATTCTTCATAAAGTAATGTAATAACCATTATTATTTCCTATGAAGCAAGAATCTTGCAATCTGATTGGTCAATTACTCGGGTGTAAATAAAACCACACCCAGTTCAACCGGGAATAAAACATATGCAAAAATTTCCAATTTTTCAAAGACTTAAAATTTGCCAAAAACATAAAAGAATTTAAAAAGATAATATTTGAAAATGTGCAGCAACGTCGGTGTGGAAGAAAACTTTTTCAATTTTATTCCCTGGTATAAGATACGTAAACGAACGCTACATAGGAAATAAAATCGTTATCCTGGTGCAATCAGGGGTGTACGGAATTGTACACCGGTGTAAAATTCTGTACACCACTGATTGCAATTTGCACTAATTAAACTAATAGCATAATGCAGAAAAAGATGTATTTCACTCATTCTTGAACACTTCTGTAAATTATGTTAAGTAGATTGTGTTGGTTGCTCATTTTGATCTCGAATTACTGTGTTGTTTTTTTTTATTTATTTTTTTAATTGATGTCTACCTCAGTTTTGTGAAACAGAGACTGCTTGACTGTTCCTCTTCCTTGCCTAGTAAATGAAAACGTTATGTGTTAGATAAATTATGTGTGTTCCTTCACCAATTATATTATTATCTAAATAATGTTAAAATGTTTACCAATTTCTATTTAATGTTTTGTTTGCTTATTCCTTACTAATTCCATATTTTGATTTATTTGCAAAGTTAGTTATTGTATCTGATAAGATGATTTCTGTTTTCACTTCTCAAAATTACTAGTAATACATTCTGAATTCATTCAAAACATGATACTGTAGTACCATTCGGCGTCCAGTATGCATGTTTTTAAACAATAAAGGTTGCAATTCTGTAAATATAAACAATGCAATTTCCCATAGGAACTCCCCTTGCGGCTAAAACTGTGACACTTTTACTATGAAGTTTCGTGAAAAATAATATCCCAGAACGGAAAGTTTATATGCACTACTATTTTATTCAAAGGTCAAAATATAGGGCTGTGCGGCATATTTTCAACATTTATATGTCCTGAACTTCTATGAGTTTAAACTGATACTAAAATGCTATACAACCCTTACCTTCATATTTGGACCTCCTAAGAATTAAAATTTAGGCGCTACCATGTTTTTCTGTACTGGTTACATTCCCAAGTGATGTCTCTATGAGATGAAACACAGAGATCATAAATGGGAACCAGTACATTATCAAATTAACATATCTATGAATATTATATATCTCCCCAAAAGAGGCGTGGTTTGAGAAACAGGTGTATTTACAAAGTGCAACCTATACAAACATTTATTCAAATAGAAAACCTTCTAAATACACTTTTTCTCGCAACAATACTTATTTATCAGAATTATAGCCTTAAGGAAATCACTGCATATACTCTAAGTTTCCTTTTACAGTACATTTTATACCCCTACCCCTGTTTCAGTTTTTTAAAGAATTTGAAAACAAGACTTTAATTATTGCCAGCTTACCCTATGTGCATGTTTTTTTACATGAAATGTCTAAAACATGTTTGAAACTATTCTGATAACAAATTGAAAGCATTTTAGAATACTATAAATGTATTGTTTAGTAGTTAATCATTCCAACATTCAAGATTATACAAAGTATTCAATCCTGCCTGTGTCTCCAATCCACATCTTACTGTATGCCTATTTGTCAATGAAAGTTCACAATTTCTGTCTCAAATGGTCAGTTAAGAATTCTTGTCACAACAGTATCATCGCTAACCATATAACTAACATAAGTTAGTTAATGTATGAACTAGAAGTGTCTAAACAAAGCCATATTTGCAAAATTGTATTTAAGAAGAGATCAGTCTGTGCATAAATTCAATAAAAGCTTGATAGAAATGACTGCTTACATCTTAATTTTGCATAACTTTCCAGCACAGTTATTGTTTTGTTTACAAAAGACCTTGAAAATAATAAAAGCATAGCATTTACAAGTTAAATTATCTGTTTTATGACCCAGGGTAGGCATTTTTTTCTGTTTTTGCCCCCTGGGGCCTCACATTTCCGAAATATTTTCCCTGTTTTTAGCAAGGTGGAATATTTAGTATATATTTAGGATAGAACACACTATTGAAAGTTATACTGAGGTCTTTTTGTAATTCTAGCTTGTACTTTTTAATGCCGCGGTCACAAAAAAACACATTTAGGTGTTACGGCTTACTTTTGGGTTATCGACAGGACAAAAATAACCCAACAAAATTATTTAGGAAGGATCAATGAGTTGCAATGACTGCGAAGAGTAAATATAAGCACTTCTTAACTATTTAAATCACAAATAGGCATATATTATGAATTTATTTTGAATTCAGGGCCTTAAGTAAACCATGCATACTGTAAACTGTGAATTTATGCTGAGTCATCATAGTTAAGGCTCAGGATTTCTCAATCTTCATGAAATATTTATAAACTTCATATTTGAGTTAAATTCTTTAAAATCTCTGCGATAAACCAGATTTTGTGAAATTCTGTATGTTCTATTTTTTAACCCTATATAGGTTGCAATTCTGTAAATATAGACAATGCAATTTCCCATAGGAACTCCCCTTGCGGCTAAAACTGTGACACTTTTACTATGAAGTTTCGTGAAAAATAATATCCCAGAACGGAAAGTTTATATGCACTACTATTTTATTCAAAGGTCAAAATATAGGGCTGTGCGGCATATTTTCAACATTCATATGCCCTGAACTTCTATGAGTTTAAACTAATACTAAAATGCTATACAACCCTTACCTTCATATTTGAACCTCCTAAGAATTAAAATTTAGGCGCTACCATGTTTTTCTGTACTGGTTACATTCCCAAGTGATGTCTCTATGAGATGAAACACAGAGATCATAAATGGGAACCAGTACATTATCAAATTAACATATCTATGAATATTATATATCTCCCCAAAAGAAGCGTGGTTTGAGAAACAGCTGTATTTACAAAGTGCAACCTATAGTGGCCCGACATGAAAAATTATGAAACAATTCAAACGAGGAAACTAACATTCTTATATATAATATTACAATTCATGCATAACAAATATGACATCCACTGAATTATAGGCTCGTAATTTGGGGCAGACACATATATAATTTGGTGGTGTTAAACATGTTATTGAGCGCCTCACCCTCCTCATAACCTTGGACAGTTGTTTTACAGCATACCATAAGAACAAACTGTAGAAATGAGTTGCAATCGGTACGAAACACCAAACAACATAAAAGACCTGACTTAAAAACAAGCATCGATATAAGATTACCCGCAGGTACTAGTCGAAAGCCAATAAAAACTAATAAATAAATCTTATCCTCCCAAACGAAATTATGCATCAGTACACAGACAACTAATTTGGTATGAAGACGTCATAAACGGTCTGAGAAATCTATATTTACAGGATTAGGATCATGAGTATACACATAACTGAACATATTAGGCAATATATATTCAGTTAAGATTAAATTTTTGAAAAATTTCAATGTTAGTACCTATATAAAGATTTTTCTACGGTACTAATTTGATAACCATTAATAAGGACTTTATGCAATTGATCAATGAGTTTACATGGATCGTATCTTATTTTTCGGGCTAGAGAAACAACATCGCCATAAAAATTTGGATGTGATACCCCGTTTTTAGTGAGGATTTTTCATTTACAACCACACTTCCTAACAAAAAATAGTTTATCTATGATAGAATTCAGTTTTAATTAATTTGTGGTAAAGAAATAATTCGTTAATAATTTACTTAATAATTTACCAGTTATACATGAATTACGTTAATTTAAATCTAAATCGCTACTGTTAATAAAAGCTTTTTGTCAGTAACTCTATACTTATTCTTATGTTTTCTTGACTCAGTCCCATTTTAAATATGATATTTTGCATTGGTCCCCTTACACGTAACAACATCAAATGTCAGTCTTTAAATAAAAACGTTTACTGATTATTTTTTAATATCATCCCGATATACGCAAGAACTTATAATTTAAATTATCCTGTCTTCATTTCTAGTTTACTTGTATCATTTTTCCTTTCAATTGTCAGTTGGTGTTGGGTATGTAAAATTAGATAAACTAACAGACTGAGCAATTAGAACCAACCAAAAGACTTGGTAAACTCGGGTGTTCCAGAAGAGTGAGCAGTTGTTGCTCCAAAAGTGGCACCGCTATTTTTTATAAATAAAGGCAATAGTCATAAATCGATTTAACTGAAACAAATCCGGGTCACAAACCAAAACTGAGGGAAACACATCAACTATAAGAGGAATAGTGGTTTCTATTCTACAATTTGGAAATCTTGGTTCAACATTACCATGAAAAAACATTGTTTATCACCAGTAAATGCATATTTCGACAATAAAAGCCTCTTCAGTGATGCTCGAGGCAAAAAAAAAATATAATGTAAAGAATATAAAACAAATTTTGAATTGCTGGTAAAACCACAAAGGACCAATTGTATTACAAAACACTGACAAGGAATCATAGCTTATTCTCAAGGCTATTACAATTGAAATCGCAAGTCCTGGTATAAAGCATCAACTATAGGAAGAAAGACTGAAATAGACACTACACACGTTTTAGGTACATGATAACGAATCGGTTTACCGGTATGATGAGTCGGTGTATCAACTCACAAGTGACACATTTCCGCGGTCTTAGTCATCAAGTCTGTACAAAGTCAGGAATATGACAGTTGGTTTTCATTCGTAAGATGTGTTTGAGCTTTTGATTTTGCAAATTGATTAAGGACTTTCCGTTTTGAATTTTCATTGGAGTTCGGTATATTTGCTATTTTACTTTTTAGATAGTAGTTTACCAGCATAGTCGTCTGATTGTAATTTTACCGATTTTGTCCTATTCTCGATTGTGTGTTGTTGCTGATTGTGATATTTTGACTGAGTGTGAATTTGCATGGCGGATAATGTATTCATAGCAGGTGACGCTTCTCTGTCGACTCACCCGGTCTCACACCTTTTGGAGTTCATTTGTTTCCTCAGTTTTTGTTTGTTACCTTGATTTGTCTCCTCTTCGTCTAATGATCAGCAGACTACTGCCGCCTTTATGTATAAGATGCCCCTTCTTTTCATGAAATAAAGACTTGTTGTATACATTTGTCTTAAAGTTCAGAATGAGGAATACTTGTGTAAAAGATGTAGAAGTCCAATGTGTTTTCATACATTAAAAGAGACTTAAATAGTCTGTTTACGACATATTCGTGGACATCTTGGTATCCACAATTGATTCGACCTCTGATTAGGGTAGTAGTTAGTTAAATAGTTACTCCGGATTCCGATATCAATTACTGATGAAATAGATTCAAACATTTTGGATGGGGTTTAGTACGACAGTAGTATAATAATGCATATTCTTTTTTTAAACACTGAAATATTTTTATACTCAAAAATGCATAAAATGTAATTTGCAGGAATGGCAATTTGTCAGATTTGTGTTTGTTTGACTTGGAAACTACATAAAAACTCTCTTATTTTGAATTGCAAAATCCCCAAAATAGAATTTCCAGTTCATTTCTATGACCCTGCTGGTACGGATTTTGCATACTGTGTACACCCAAAACCTGAAAGTGATTGCATGGCATTCTTCAAAAATACAAGTATTTCACAAAATGTGACATCAGCAGAAACAATTCTAACAGTGAAAGGGAGAATTTACCCTCGTGTAAATGGAATCTGGACATGTACGCATGGTAGCGGCGAAAAAGGAAGTGCTGAAATTACAGTTCCTGATTTATCAGGTTAGTTAATTTTAAAATTATTAGTTAAGGTAACAAATACGTATATTTAGTTTTTATAGTCGTATGACATATCTGCATGTAAATTTCTTTCATAATTCTTGAAACTTCAATTATCTTTACGATTCCATTTGCAAAGAAAGTTATATTTTTGATTTTTTTTTTTTTTTTGTGATTGTTTATTTTCAAGGGGCAAATTAAAGAAATAATAAAATGTAAACTTAACTCACTAAATTATAAAAAATTTGAATGAATTATATTTTTAGATATTTTATCATCCTAAACACGTTCTCTTTTTGTAGTAACTGAAACGGACATTGAGAAAAAAATTGGTAAGTTACATTGTATAATTGTCGGAGATTTTGTGTTATTAACAGTATACTTTTAAGGACTTTCTTTTCTAAATTTAATAATTTAAGATGAACATTCCTGGAACATGTTGTTTTGTTTTGTTTAGATGCATACATACGTGTCAGCATTTGTTAACAAATTGTTGAAAATTTGGTTTGTCCAGATTTTAATAAATAAAATTTTGGTAGAACACACATATACATAAACAAACATAAAGGTATTCATTTTCTTTTATAAGTTAAGACAAAAGGCTAAGGTGCAATGTTTCATTTATTTAACATCAAAGCCAAAAGGCAGTGCCTCCGTTTGTTACAAAGACCGCGACGTCATTCATATCAATCGTTGTCATTAACACATTGTTTTTTTCTGTATGAAAAGACAATTTATATGCATATATATTTTCCACATATTTATAATATGAAGTTATTTTAAAAGTAGATATAAATTCAAACTATCAAAATTATGTGTATTTCCCCGTAACATGGAAGAGTCAAATGCAAATAACGCTGATCGAATATATCCGTTACAGAAACAGCACGATACTAACATTTTTAGATGTAATACATTAGCAACCAGCAGCGATCACATTGGATTAGACTATGAGTCAATACGACAGTTTGAATTTATATTGATATGGTGACGATCTCAGTATTGTACATGTTAAGTACTTTTAGGTTTTATCAGCTCTTCGCGTTTGTTTAAGTTTTTGTTTTTCAATTATTTTGTACTCGAGCATCACTAAAGATGAACATGTATTCGTTCATGCGTTTGATTTTGCCATTTTATAAAGGACTTTTCATTTTGAAGTTTCCTTGGAGTTCGGTATTTAGTGCGCTGGGGACGCTGAAGTGCGATGGATACGCTTAATTGCGATGGACCTTTCGCTGATGTGCAATAGTCTATATTACGCGTGATGGTTAGTTTAAAATCTGCAGATATTAAATTACTATGAGCAAAAATTTTTTTTTTTAATTGTTTCTATATAAGTTTTCTTTCATTATTGTCTATGTATGTCCTTAGTTCCTGTTGCATATGAGAGATCGTCCTCTTCGATTTTCTGCATGTGAACATTATTTTGCGTTCATATTTTATCTTTTATTTACTTGGTCCCTCTCATGACTTCCTCGTTTACCATATCATTATGATACGAAAAGTCTGTCTGCCTACCCGTATGTATTTAGAGCCTCATCGAACGTAAAAATAGAATTGTTTGTTGATTTCGAAAAAACAATCCACTACAGATGATCAGATTAACTTTACCACCATCGCACGTCCTGGTTTTGAAAGAACGATTCTTTTTTTAGACATGAACGCGGCTGTCAAAGAAAGCACCCATTTTTCATTGTAATCGTAAGTTTACGTTACGTTTACGTTACGTTTACAATCACCTTTGTGAAACACTCGTATGTGTGATCGATCAGGGGCGGATCCAGCCATTTATAAAAAGTGTGTGTGCGTGTGTGTGGGGGGGGGGGGGGGGTCCTAACCCAGGCTAAAGGGGGGTTCCAACTATATGTCCTCATTCAAATGCATTGATCGTCAGAAAAAAGGGGGGTTCCAACCCCCAGAACCCTCCCCTGGATCCAGCACTGTCAGTGAACTTGATTTTTTGAGTTACATATACAGAACATAAATTTGTTAAATGGTGGTAAAACATATTTTCATTTGTAATGCCCTTCTTGCCCCTACATTTTTACCAGCTCCCCTCCCAGGTAAAAAGATGATAAGTCCCTAAATGTCTACGTATTTTTTATTAATTTTTTTTTGTATCTGGGGGTTGTAGTTTTCCAAGAATTTTTATTCATTCGAGTCATGTTAATTGATTTTTTTAATTTGTGTATCTATAAAGGGCGAATCTTAACTCCCGCTGATGCACACCCGTTTTTTATTTTTCTATATTCTTTTTAAATTTTGCACATTATTCTTAATTCTGTACATTATTCTCTGCCCTTATTATTTTGGCCTATTTTTCTCGATTCTTTATTTTCTTAATCCATTTTCTGTAATGTTAGCCCCTTATATTCTCTATTCTATAAACTCCGTTCAGACCCTCTATAACTTTTTTTTAATTACAGAACCAGTCAGCAGTTTGTTGCTAATCATTACTGTGAAATAAATAAATCGATGCATTAACAAGAAATGGTGCATAGAACACCAACCCCCTATTCGCACTACACATATCCATGTTAAATTTGCATATTTTGTTAAACAGTTCTCTGCATCATGAGTTTCATTTTGATGTGATCTCAAAGTAACTTAAACCCAAAATTTAACCTCACACACGCTTTAACTGACATTTTGTTGTAAAAAAAACTGTCAATTGAAATCTTGGTCAATCCATAAGGACAAGTGGCGATAAGGGTCTTTTTTAGACCCGTCACAATTTTCATTTAATTTTTCATGTTGTAACCGTCGGGAAATCGTGACACTCTTGTATTTATTTTATATAAAATTGAGAATGGAAACGGTATTCTGTTTGTAGCCAGATGTATAATGGGGGTGGGGGTGATAAAGGCGAATAGGACATGTACTTTTTAAGTATTACACAAATTTAAGTGCATACTTTTTGGAAATTGTTTTTATATTCTAATTATTTTTTCGAATCAAACTCGGAGGAAAATGTCAAAGATACACAAAATATCGTAGTATTCAAGAACATTTTGTAACGTAATAGGGCCTAGATGGACGAGTTGTTTAAAGTAGTTCAACTACAATGTTCACTCTGAGCCTTTCAAGACTGCTCGTGGCTGTATTTTGACCTCAATTGACCTGGATTCGCACAGAGTAATAAAAGTGGCGTTAAACATCAAATAAATCAATCTCAATATAATGTAACAAACATCAAGAATCTCTTATGGAATACGATATATATTCTTTGGTATGGAGAAATAGTTCATCATTATATTTGTTTCATAATCTCATACATCTACTCCATATTTAAATTCTTTAAATGATATTTACACATTTTGTCTTGGGCTATAGGTGGAGTCCATAAAATGATTTTTTTCCTGCATGAGGAGTATACTTTTACATTTCTGTCGTAACAATTGTCGTATATGAACTAATATACGTTTTGTCTTTCAACCCCCAATGAATCGACTGTCGGTGTAGATAAAGATTGTACTGCCTGATCCTCTCTCGTCAGAAAGAAGTGGTCGTCAGTTCGGATGTGCTGGATGTATACATACGCAGTCATGTCCGCTTAATATGGAAAACGATGCCCCGTCACACAGTGCATACGAATTTCACACTCTCTGAACAGTTAAGATTCTTTGTTATTACATAATTATGGGTCTGTCGGTGGCAGAATGCAAGGCAAATTTTTTGCTCTATCCAATATGTCATCTTTTAAAGAAATGCATTTATACTTGCCAACATTCATTACAAAATTGACATTTTTCCCGTATGCATGAAATTTTGCCATTGTACAATTTCATGTCAAGTAATATAACAAAATGTGTTGATGCAACTTACGGGATTATTTGTTAATATCTTTGTTTGTAATTTGTTGACGTTCCCATCAATGTATTTTTTTATACATAGAAGTACAATGATCGACGATGTTAGGGACTGTCTTAAAATTGTAATGAAATTGTCGAAAATATTTTTGACAAAGACAACCATATTTGTATGTATAGGAACAGTGAAAGGGATAAATCGAGAGGGACATCATGTTGAATAACGGAAAACATACAACAATAGCGAAATAAATATTAGTTCGAGCTGTTATATAACTACTATATAATTACAAAGAGAGGGAAATTAGGGGTTGCCTTGGTAAATTATCAAGTTGCTTCATTTTGATTGGGGCTGGTCATTTGTAACTGAAGAGTGAATAATAATAATAATAATTAGTATTGAGAACTTGATGAGGAGGGGTGAATTTTTATGTCTTTGAAAGTGGGGACTTGAATTTATTTTCTTTCATCAAGGTGGGATCTTGAAAAAATAGAGAAATTCCAATGTTTCCTTCCATCCACTTGAATGCTTGAAAATAAGAATCTCGTCACCTTAACAACATGCCTACAACATTCTTAATTTGAAAATAAAATTTTATAGGTATAAACAAAAACAATCACATTATGGCAAAGTGAATGATCATACTTTTCAATTAAAACTAGAATTATAGAAATGTGTTTAATCAGAAAGAACCTAACAGGTATTGAGTACGAGGTTGCAGCATACATTTTATACCTTTTAAAAAACGCGAACCTGATAGAGCGCATGGCAACTGGTGTATTTACATTGAAACTATGGATTCATACCATTACATTCATGTATTCAATCATTAATTTCTCAATTTCTAAACTGTTATTTGTTTTAAACAATCGTAATGTATTTACAAAAAATTCTATTCAATAAAGGGCACCGTCAACCGCGGAAATAGTGTATAACCACAGGACTACACTAGTTAGGGAATGATGGCAATTTTAGCTTAGCATAAATATTTATTGTTAACTTCATTAACTCCGTGTAAAACGTGAGTGATAGTATGACATAGATTTGAGAACTAGTAAATAAGCGTTTCTAATTTTCTTGTGTAAATATAAAAAAGAAGATGTGAAAATAAACTCAAATGTAGAAATGGTTTTACGATTATTTCAGGAATTAAGGATGTTCGCCTCTCTATTTAAGGAATGACTGTAATATTTTTTCTGTCTATGAAGAAGACAGAAAAAATATTACAGTCATTTCTTATAATTTAATTCTAAATTCCATTTTAAATCGTAGTAAACCATAAAAAAACGTTGATGACGTCACGGTCACATGACAAAATTATGTCTATGAGCTGATAAACAAAACAACGTCAGCCAATCAGAAGACGCGTTACATCCAAAATTAAATTATTTCAAAATAACAAGAGTTTTACATGTATTTTGATTAACTAATGAAACTTAATTTTCTGTAAGAAAATTTGATGTTATTGATTTTCACCAAATGTCAATAGGTTAAATCACTACGATATGACTTAAGACTGCCTGTTAACACTCGTAAGTTTACGATCAAACTTACGATAAAATTCTACTTACGATTGTTTATGAAACGGTCAAAAACTTACGATTTGACGTTCGACAGACGTAAGATCTAAGATTGTCGTACGATTTTTTGTGAAACGATGGCCTGGTCATGAGGATATTGTTTTGTTGTTGCAGATATAAAATGGTGTTGGGCAGTTGCAGTTTGTTGGACTTTTCTAGGATGTCTTATCTCTTACGTTTTTCGTAACTTGTTCCTAAAAGTATTGGTACCTTTACTTCGGAAGTGTGCAGGTAATATACATAAGGTGAAAGTTTCAAACTGATAAGCTCAATTTAAATTAAACTATGTTTTGTCATATTTGTGGTCATTTGGAGATACCTGTCTCAATATCACACCATATATGCTAATCTTTTATCATATATCAGCAGAGATGAGCTTCATTCTACCTGTGAAAAATGAGGTTTGGTTAAGTACATATAATAAGTTATTAAATATTTGAAACAGGATACTTGTTTGGTTTGGAAAAAACAAGTTTAAAGCTTTTTCATTATACACATGTACTTACGCGAAGGTAACTGTCGAACTTTAGTGCAGTCTGGATGAAAATTTATGAACAACGGAATAATAAAGGACCAAGTGCTCATAACAGTAGAAAAATCAATAAGAAGAAAAATCAATACACTAATGATTCCAAAATCTGTCAATTTAAGTTTTCTCAAAACACCAAACAGATATTTCTCACAATTTTCAGATTCTCAGATTACATCATAAAGAAACATACAATTCCCGCCATTTTGTATATATGATAACCGATAAGTAATATGAGGCAAGTGTAATATGTGAAAGAAAACAACTATTTTGAATTCCGTTTGACTGCTTACATAGAAACGAGCCTTTATAATGATTCAACATGCAATTTATAGGTTTCTTTTCTGAAAAATAACACATTAGTGGATATAACAAACGGTTTAATACTAATTTTGAAAATGAAAAACAACCCCAATAGGACAAAGAATCACGAAAATCGAGCAAACCCAAATTAATATAAATATCCACAAAGGTATGTTCTGTACAATATACTTAAAAACCAGTTACAGATGTAAGTGATTCTAAAGAAATCATATCTGTTGTTTGAATTGCTATTTTTATGGTGTGCTTGTATCATTCATTTGTTTTCAATAAAAGGCTCATTGTTATAACACAAAAACCATAAATGAATCAATTTGTTTCAAACCCATTCGCATTGGTACACATTTAAAACCTTCCAAATGTTTTTACTGTAATAGAAAATAATATATAAAAAGGGGAACTTGCAAGAAAGATGAACATATTTTATTTTTCTTTCACTTTACACGACTATAAGTCAAACCAAACTTACCTGTGTTGAATGCGACTGATTTGATGGGTGTTTAACGTCACTTTAAGCACTATTGTTTTATTTCCTGGCGGTAATTCTTTATTGATGGAAGAAGCCGAGATGCTCGGAGAGAACCACTGACCTTCGGCAGGAAAACTGACAATCCTAGTCAATTAAGATTGGAGTCGAAACCACGTGCCGGATTCGAACTCACAACCTCAGTGTTGACAGGCTGGTGATGCAGTGGTTCGACTACTTAGACCACTCGGCCTCCGAGGCCCCTGCATGAAATGAATAGATATAGGAAGATGTGGTATGAGTGCCAATGAGACAACTCTCCATCCAAGTTACAATTTATAAAAGTAAACCATTATAGGTCAAGGTACGGCCTTCAACACGGAGCATTGGCTCACACCGAACACCGGACCCCAAAAAATTACTAGTGTAAAACCATTCAAACGGAAAAACCAACGGTCTAATCTATATTAAAAAACGAGAAACGAGAAACACGTATGAACTACATAAACAGACGACAACTACTGTAATCAGATTCCTGACTTAGGACAGGTGCAAACATTTGCAGCGGAATTAAACGTTTTAATGGTACCAAACCTTCTCCCTTTTCTGAAACAATAGTATAACATCACAACATAGAAAAACACACTATAAAATATCAATTGGAAGGCTTAACTCAATCAAAAAACGTAAATTAACACACAATGAACGAATAAATTTGACCTGTGACACCTGAATGCAAATACACAGTAAATGAAAAATTACAAGGGATAAATAATTAAAGTCAAAAGTAAGACTATTATTATACTAAGCATCCTATGTAAAATTGATTCATAACTGTTCTTTTACGAATAGGACTATGAACTTTAAAATTAATCAGCAGTAAAAATAATTTGCCTTAGGAAACATGATAAATGGATTACACTAAAAAGGTAATTTCCCAAAACAGAAAATATCTTTTGAATACAAATTATTTTCAGGAGAGTCTTGTTTGGCAAATTTAGGAAGAACCTTGTCAAAGAGCATTACCACCATGATAGAACGAATTACGAATGTTTGTCCCGTTCTATCAAAGGAACCAGAAAATAGAGTCAAAGGTAATGCATGGTATCTTAGAGTAGTATAATCTGTTATGATTGAGATATATATACACTTTTTTGAATTATAAATAGCAGTTATTAATCAGTTGTAACAAATATCTTGCTACTTCAGCTTTTATAAATAAGGTACACTATGTATTGATATCTTTAAGAACATGTTGTATTCAAAATTAAAAAAAATACTCTCTTACTATTTGTTGAGTACATCAAACTAGTAATTGAATAAACAATAAATATTTCGATTTTTCTAAACAAATTTCGACTGAACTTAAAATGCCATTTTTTTTAAACTTGACTCTTCTGTTTTTGTTTGAAAAAAATGTTCCCCTCATATTTTACGTGATTACTTGCCATCATAAGAAAATTAAAAATAACTCTCTACAAGAATTCAGTATTTCCTACCAGTTAATACTGTACCATATTCATTCCCAATAAACCTTATTTTAAAACCAAATTACCTCAGTTTTCAACATTACAACATTATAAAACTAAATTTTCAATTATGCAATGACAAGTCAATTTATTATGTGTGGGCTGTACGTCTGCCCATTTATCACAAAATATTGACAAAGCTCAAACTGTGTCTGACATAAATTTGCCGTTACAGTTATCAAAATTTACTAATTATAATATATAGATGTCCATATTGATATACCAGTGCAACCTCACATATTTTTTTATTACGTCCCGGACCTATAATTCACCAGAAATATTGTGTACACCTGTTTCTTCATCCCATTTGTAACGTTAATGTATAAGCACTTATAGTACCTCTTACAGAGGTGAGCGATACAGGGTCACTTGAGCATATAGTTTTCTAAAACGATGTTATATTCATGCATTTGCTTATCTTCTGTTGCTTGTTTATATTTTTAGTGTTACTTTCCTTCAGTTTGTATATTAGTTGTTGTTTGCTCGATATTATCAGATTATTACATGACATTTTTCATATCGGATGTATTATCAGCCAAAGGTTCAATATGAGCCCAAGAGCCGTTGGCTCGAGGGCTAATATTGACCGAGGGCTGATAATACATTTGATATGAAAAATGACATGTTATGATCTTTTTATCATATGGTTCAACAATGGAGAAACAGTTTAATATATTAATTGATCCTTTTAAGTGGTTCTCAAGTTGAAGTTCAAAAAGCGAAAAGTTTACGGACGTCGGACGCGAAATGTAATACATCCGATATGAAATCTTACTATCATATGCCTCAACAGAGGAGAAAAACAACAGTATTATATATTTTTATAATGACAATAAAAAAAATCAACAAAACATAATGAACTCTCTTTGGAAAAGTCAAAATTTGTAAAGTAACTTTCAAAATTATGCTGGAAACTTTGTTTTTTACATCTTTCATGATATATTTTTCCTTTTCCTTTCCTAATTATTGTTTTGTACCCTACTTTGTTATGTTTTTCACTGAAAACGTTACATTGAGGTGTATTTTCCGGAATTTGCCGAGTAATGCCGGAATGCCATGCGATAACGTTACGGAAAGGCATGTGATAATAGCTGAGGCATGTGATAAATTTTTCATATCAGCCCGTTACACACCATTTCGGAAAATATGTAATTCACGGAAATTTAATGCTATTATCATACAGTAAAATTTATAAATCATTTACTCTAAGTAGATGATAAATAAACTTTTTTTACATCGGACAAATGTAAATCTAGTGTTTTTAGTATGTCTGAACCATCGATAAATTTGTTTTTTAATTGTTTGTGTATTTAGGTTTATTAGTTTATTCGTCTTCTTTGCAATGTAGATTTCGCCTATTTAAGTATTCAATTTGCCTCAAATTCTTTGATTCAGGTTTCAGATTTCTAATTAGTTCTTTACATAAAAAATGTAAAATGCTTTAAAATTTATGTTTTACACTATCGGAAAAAGCTGTAAAACCAAATATGAGGAAAATAATTCAAATCTGCAAGAATACAAACAAATTGAGAATTTTTGTTTTTCCAACCAATTGATTTTTATTTGGTATTCCTGCAATTTGAAGAATAAAAGGTATATCTTTGTATTACCAAAACCTTTTTGCAAAACAATAACAAAACTAGAAGAGCATGTTTTAACTTTAAAGAAAAAAACTGATCAAAAAGTTTCTGATTGCAGTGTTTGCTTTAAATTGAATTTAAGGAAAATTGAAAACGGAAAAAAAAGTTTTTGAACAAAAGTCCAAAATATAAATTGAGAAATTTTGATTTCTACAGTAAAATATTTAAAAAATAAAATCTGATTTTTTTGTATAAAATCAAACAGAAAATGCTTGTAGACCACTGCTTCGATTATGATAAGATATGTCTCTACCTTGGACTTCTCATTTTTCAAATATCTGTCGTGAACTGGAAAGAGAGCCGTTAGTCGATGAAAAAAAGTACTAGTATAACAAAAATTCCAAACTCCAAGGCAAATTCAAAAAGTGGAAGTCCATAAAAACTGACAAAATCAAACGCTTTCAATCAACGGATCAAATGAAAAAAATCTGCAATATTTCTGACTTGGTACAGGAATTTTGAGAAAAACTTAAAAGAGCATGATATAAAACAAAAAACGACTACAAGACAAACAAAAGTATACAAAAGACCACAAAGAAAACTAAAGACTAAGCAACATGAAACCCACTAAAACCAAAAAATCGCAGGTGCTTTGAAAGTGAAGGCCAATCCTGCTCCTCATGAATCATGTTTTGCTTATGTAAATACAAACTCTGTGATAAGTCTAATTTGGCGATTTCACATTCTATGCTCCATTTGTAGCACCTTTCGTTTTGCTCTTGCAAGTACAAACCCGGTGATAAGTCTATTTCTGTAGGTCATATTGGATGAAAAGAGAACGGGATTGTGGTTACGACAATTGGCACATATCCGTCGTTATTCCATAACGGTCAACTTACTTGTGATGGTGTCCGGAAGTTATTCGAAGGGATAATTTCAACTTCACCACTCTTAGTTTAATAGCTTCCTTGTAAACAGCAACCCTATATCAAGGAAATCATAATAGGAAATGCCAGCAGGTCTGGAATATCGTATCAGCTTTTGGATATATACAACATATACATAGAAATGGACAGTTTCTAATTAGGAAGCTGAGATCATCTCTTTTGTTGTAAAGTTTTGTTCTCAACAGAGCCTCCTTGTAAATTTTAAAATGTAGATCAAGATATGAAGCACCTGAATATGGAGTATATATCTTCTAGTTCATACGATATCCAGATCTTGCGTTTGTCCTACAAAGAGGGTTTCTGCTTAACAGGAAGTTATTAAACCAAGGGTTTCAAGTGGTGAAATGTAATTCATCTTTCATCTGTAAGAAATTTTTACGGATGCAATCTCACAAGTCGGTTGATTGTTATGGAATATCTGTTTCACAGATGATGACGGATATGTTCCAATTGTCGTAACCACAATCCCGTACTCTTTTCCTCGAATGTGACATTACCAAAGGAGACTTACCACCGAATGTGAACTAACATGAGCAAACGACAGTGCCATATTTGTAGTTTGATTTGCTAAACTTTTCGGAGCACTTGAGATCACCGAGGTTTTAAGTGGAGTTCGTGTTCCTCAATCTTTAATGTTAGCTAAGTGGTGTTTTGTAGACTTTTTGTATTTTCGTCGTTTTCCCCAATGACGTTATCGTTTGTTATCACTTCATGAGTGTGAATTTCTCATTCCGCCTGTCTTCAAAAATTTTTTTTTTGCAATGAGATTAAGATTTGTTTTTACAAACATACAGACATGGGTTTTATTTTATTCATTTTTTTTAATTGTTGGAAAATTAAAACTCCAGATATACAAATATTGATTTATACTTTAAAATCAAATTTATTCCAAAAACGTTTACTTAATTATTGCCAAACAATAGAAATAACTCTCTTACATTTCGTTTCTAAGAAATTGTGGATCATTTTTAATTGACTTGTGTATGCACAGTCGTTCTCAAACTTTTTTCAAGAGTGACTTTTCAGAAAATACTAACTTGATGAATTCATGAATAATATGTTTATAAAACGTTAAGATTTATACTTTTAACTGGTTTGTATTTCAGTTTTCAGAAGATTGATTTTGATTCTGCTGTTATCATTGATGGTTTCTATACCATTAGTTGCTGGTCTTGTTAAAGAAGGCAAATGTACAGGTATTTTTTTAATATTTCAAATGAAATGAAAAGTTATCTTTTATTCGTAGTAAAACCAACAACTTGAGGGTCGGAAATTGGAAAATGCACAAATGAATATCAAAGCAAAGTGTAGGAACAATAATTTATTACTATGTTGCACTGTCAGTACTTTTTTATCCAAATAATTGCACATAACATGGTGATTGACGACTTTCAGATTGGAACAAATACAATAAATGTAGTTAAAAAACAAATAACACTAGTTTTACTGTCCCTCATAGTAACAGAGTAGTAAACATTTTAAAGAAATGCTATACCATACAAACATCAGCGGTAAACTTTTTCTTACTACAAATTTTGATGCATAAGTTAAATTTGACAAAAATGTTCTTTTGAATGTTGTATGAATCTGCTTATTTATTAGAAAGTAACTTTATATTAAAACGTTTTACAAAGGCTATAAAAAGACTGGACATTTTCATGGTTTTTAATGACCTTTGTGTTTACTAGTTAAATTCAAGCGGACCTTATCCTAATGTAAATATTGAATATGAATAGATCGAGAAGACAGCAAATACACGAAAACAAATCGTGACGACCTTTCCTTCAAATTGTATTAAAAAAATTGTACAGATCTTGTGACAGATAACCTATTTTTTTTTTTTTTAAGTATTTGTCTTTAATTTTGGAACCTGCACATACTCGATTTTTAAATTGTTATACTCACAAAAAGAAAATACTTTTATATTGAAAGTTCACGTGAAAAGAGAGAGCAGACCGGTGCACTCGAAAACTGGAGATAAGAAAAATGAGTATATTTTTGGAAATTGTAACATGCTAAGTACTTAGTCTATGTGGAACACTCCAAATATTGGACATGATTTTTTACTAATTTTTTTTTATCAATATGCAACAAAGATTAGCATCTTTTTTTTTTTAATTTCAGTTTCACAAGTTTCTAATGCATTATATCGGTAATATTGCATATAAAACATCGTGTATTTACATGTATACTTCTAATAGAACAGTTTAACAAATGATTTCTTTAAAATGTACAATTGTAATTTAGAAATAGCTTTTGATCAGTAAAGTCACCGGCAATGTTTTACTATTGATTTTCTCGTTTTTTCATAAAAAGGGTGAATTTTCTATTGTTCTCGGTCACCAGTTTTGCCACTATTATGATGTTTGAATTGTGAAAATTAAAACTGTTTTATGTAATGGATTCTGTGGCATTTCAGTGGGCGAGAAATATTTTTGGCGCGAAAATGTCAGCCATGACATTTAACGACTTGTTTAGCAGTTGACGTTGTAATCATAAATGTTTCTCGCAAATGGCTTTGCGACGGATTTGTATACACGCGGCGTTGTCATTGAGGTTAACATAATCATGGGAGGTCATTTACTCATCCCGTCTGCTGTATCGTTGTTTTAAGGAGTGAAAGGTGGTTTCTGACGTGAAATTGTTTAGCAGCAGCATTTTATTCCTGTCTGGAACAATCTTATTACCTGATTCAAAATTTCATTGCTTAGTCTTGGCAAAATGGAAACGCAACAATTATTTACTTATTAAAATGTGGGCATGGATTTAAAAAAAAATCTTTCTCGAGCAAAATACATTAAAAAAATAATGCATGGGTTCAAATTTATAAGAAATTGATACGATTTCAATAATCCATTATATACATTTACCTCAGAAAAGTCAGGTACTGAATTTCAAGTAGAAAGAAGTATGGTAAGAATGAATATTAATAATATTAAGATAAATCAAGAGTTGAAAAATCACGAAATGTGAGTTTCTTATGGACATCTCATGTAACTACTGGAAAGCAATTGTCATATTTCAAATTTATAACTTAACTTAAGTCATATTGTATTGTATTTCAGCAAATACAAATATATAAAGACGCCATCTCCTCATTTCTTCATTTCGTCATCCTAAATTTAAAAGAGATTGTATTAACGTCATGATTTCCCAGTATATCTCTACCATTTGTTTTGCCAAGATCGAGGATGCACGAGAACTATAATTTCTATGTGTCCGTATATTCATCGTCGGTCACATACACATACAAAAATAATGATAATAACGATAAATTCATCAATTGAGCATTTGTTCAAGAAACGGGTAAATATCCGTCGTGCAGACCATAGTATCAATGTGTATCTCAAAAGCATTATTTGGGAAAATTATGACACATTGAACTGAAAATTGTACGTTTGTAAATTTCAAGATGTTTTTTGGGATGTACAGATTCTTTGCTTCTCTAGTTTATCAACGCTATACGCTGGCACATAGAATAAGTTACTACTGAAAATTGAAAAGTTGACAATGGAAACGCCCAGTTTTCAAAGATTCATTCATATGCAGCAATATAGATTTTGTTTAATAAGAAGCAGGCCTTCTTTGCTTGTTTGTATTCAGAATGACAAGTTCGCGGGCATATCGGCACGCACTCGCATTTGGATTATTTCTTGACTGGACATTATCAATTTATACAAATGTGAAAGAAAAAGGGATACTTTTGTCTTCGAATTTTTTGTATAAAATCAGATTCATATAAACGGTCAGTTGGATGGACACAGGTGGTACTCCAAATTTTGACATTTTTACTTAATATGTCTGTTTGTTTTGCTCACACATTGTTGTCAAAATAAAGGAATTCTATGCAACTGTCATACAAGTGAGATGTTTAGCTAGCTATAAAACCAGGTTTAATCAACTATTATCTACATAAGGAAATGTCTGAACCAAGTCAGGAATATGACAGTTGTTTCCCATTTGTTTGATGTGTTTGATCTTTTGATTTTGCCATTTTATAAAGAACTTTTCGTTTTGAATTTTCCTTGGAGTTCGGTATTTTTGTTATTCTATTTTTTTCGAACTGCTTTCGTATTTTATATCTCTGATATTTTCGACTGATATATATAAGTCTCATATTATTTGCATAAAAAAATCCTACGAATACTTTTAGCTGTTAAAATTGCAAACATTAATCAAGTTAAGACATATAGTAAATTTTAATTTGATTTTTAGAATTGAATGGACACTCACAATTGATTAGATGATAAAAATGGTTTAAAATCCTTATCACAGAGAAAAAGGAACAATAATTAAATTATCCGTTAATTATGAGAAAACAAATAAACAGGTAGACTGATTTATATAAAACACACTTGGCATGGCGTATGCAGTTTATCTTAAACTTCTCAGTTAAATATCCAATTTGTATCTTCCGTTTTTCTTGAAGAGTAAGTTGTTCTTTCTCTTTCAGCGCTTAACCTTGATTTAGGTCGGTGGAACTTCGACAAGACACAAATGAAAACAAATTAAACATATTTGTTTATTAAATATCATTACTTTTTTTTCAGGACATTTAAGTTTCTTACCATTTGGTGCAGTATTTGGCTTGATCATCTCAATATTTTGCATTGAAAACAAAGGTAGGTAATTAGAACGGCTTAATAATAGGTTCTGGCGTTGTTTATTTTCTTAATTAAGTGTTATAGTGTTCTTTTTATTGATCTTTGTTTATTTTTACCTTTAATGTTTAGTCCATTTTTGGTAATATGCTTTTGTCGTGACTCGGTATTTATACATTCAGTCATTGTGTTGTTGTCCTATATAAAAATAAGGAGATGTGGTATGATTTCCATTGAGACACCTATCCACCAAAGTTCAAATGAAGTGGATGTAAGCAATTATAGGCAACCGTACGGCCTTCAACAATGAGAAAACCCATACCGTATGGTCGGCTATAAAAAGCCTCGCCATGAAAAATATGAAACAATTCAATTGCGAAAACTAACGGCCTAATTTATAACAAAACAATTTACGAAAAACAAATATCACAATCATGAACCAACTGCAACCACTGAACTGCAGGTTCCTGACTTGGGACAGGTACATAAAGAATGTGGCGGGGTTAAACATGTTTGTGATCGGTCAACCCTCCCCTAACCTGGGACAGTGGCGTAACAGTACAACTTAAGAGCAAATTATAAAAATCAGTTGAAAAAGGCTTAACTCATCAGATTGATACAAATAGAAATACATCTAACAAAACACAGAGTGGACGTGGACGGGTACTTATACATCCCCACAACAAAAAGACACTAAGTACAAATCTTAGAGTACTTGCAGTTACTGATAGCTAGTTCAAAGCCAATAACAACTAATAAAAAAATCATGTATCTAAGACTAAAATATCAATCATTGCACATCCAACATCCAATTAATTTAGTGTAAAGACGTCATTAATAGTCGGAGAAAAACATGACCTTGTGCAATGCCAACATATAGGCATCGACAGATTGTAGTACCATGAAAGTACATATGTGTAATATTTAGTATGGTTTTAATTTACTGATAACAAAATCAATATTTATACAAATAAGAACAATATTCAAAGATTTGATTACAATGTTGAATAGGTAACCTTTTAGAATAAGTTTTTTTTAAAGGATTGATAAGTTTACCCGGATCGTAAGTAATTTGTGGTAACGAAATTCCTTACTTAATAATTTACTAGTAATACATAGATTACGCTCATTGAAATCCAAAACGTCACTACAGACACAAGCATAGCGAACGAGTTAGGGTAAATAAATACCTTTAGACGGTGCCAAAGGAACATCACCGTCCAAAAAGGGAAAATTAACAATAGGGAAAGAAAAATCATCCCTTTTGTCGTAAATTTTTGTGTAGAGTTTCTTGTGTAATACTGAAGTATCTAAATCTAGGAAAGGACAGTTATTGCTGTTAATATTTGATTTATATAAAGTAAGTTCCTTTGTATAAATTTCAGCAGAATATTTAGAGAATTCTTGATTATTTAACGAAATAAAATATCATCAAGATAACGGTAATTGTTGGTGAATTGATCAATTAAATGGAATTTAGACGGTTCTTTTCTGAGATTGGCCATGAACTGTGATTCATAACAGTAAAGGAACAAGTCTGAATGTATCTGAATGTATAATTTCATTCTTAAGGACTTCCGTGTAGTATTTACGTCATACCACCACCACATTGCTGGCTGCTTTGTCGGCCGGAACGAAGGCAAAATGCTTTGATAGTACTGGAATTTTGTTTTTACCTAGAAATGGGCGTATTACTTACTCTTTTATTTATTTCTAAATTATTTTCGAAATTTAATGCGAATATCAACAATACTCAGATATTTATTTAGAAAGGAATCAAGTGACTTTTTGTCAGATTTTTCCCGTTTATACCATTTTTTACAATAAGATGAAAGAGCATCTTTAATAACCTGACGACACTCTTTCCAATTTATTTTCGATCGACGGTGGACGATATTTTGGTCCTTTTTGCAGAAAGTTTATAACCTCTCGGTCTTGAACGATGTTGAGGTCCCTATAATTACATAGCCACAGGGATCATATCTTAACTTCGATGTCTCCCAGTCTCATGTTGAAGGAGCATTATTTTCTATACTGACGTCTGATGTAACTGACGTATAATTAAAAATTATACTTCTACTGGGTTTTTATACGAATAAGAAATTATCGGTGGCTCAATGTTATCAAAATATGGAGGTATAAAGTTTTGAACGATAGAGTCATGAAAAAAACTAGACAAATTAATAAAATCAATACCTCTATTAATGTATTTTATTTTTAGAAAATACTTCTTATGATCTTCAGGTTTGTCAAATTGAGGGAGCAGTCTATGGTGACAAAATGCTGTAATAATCCGTGTACAGTCATATTGTGGTCATTTTTGTATTCTTGTTTTTCGTTTATGCCTATGTGCTTTGTCTGTAGAGTGTCTATATGCAATTTTGTATTTCTTTGTTGACATTGTTGTTTGTTTTTATAGTAATTAAGATTATAGCACAATGTTGATTGCTGTATCCAAATTTTGACATTTTTACCTATTATGTCTGTTTGTTTTGCTCACACATTGTTGTCAATATAATAGAATTCTATGCGACTGTCCTACAAGTGAGATGCTTAGCTAGATGTGAAAAAAGGTTTAATCCACCATATTCACATAAGGAAATGTCTGTACCAAGTCAGGAATATGACAGTTGTTTTCCTTTCGGTTGATGTGTTTGAGCTTTTGATTTTGCAATTTGATAAAGAACTTTCCGTTTTGAATTTTCCTTGGAGTTCGATATTTTACTTTCCTTTTTAAAAATAACCGTCTGAAACGTACTTTCGTCTTATGAAAATGTAAAAAATGTTGAGCATTCAAAAGAAAAGTTGAAAGGTTTGATACCCTTTACATAAATAAAAAAAATACTTTATAAATTTCGTGCGTTGGAAGCGCTTATCTTTGAATCTGTGGATTTACCTATATCAGGAATTCTCAAACCCAATTATTTGAAAGTCAATGATGTTTAAATAAGTAGAAACGATGGAAGTTATATGAACAGAAGGGACCCAATTCTCGAATCATATTTTAATAAGAGTTATGTTGAAACATTATTTTTACTGAGAGAAATTGTCCTGATCAGAATATTATATTGCCATGTGTTAAAAGTAAATAATCATATGCAACGAAAGATGATATACCCTGGACTTGAACATTAAGTCTGACGTAAAAATAAAGTTTATCATTTCAGAAAGAATTAAAAGTGTTTTTAGACGTTCATTAAAAAACCATTCAAACCATTTGCAAACCTTTTCATTTACTGTGGGTTCCTTATACGAAGTAAACGCTTCTGGAAAAGTTACTAATTATTTTATCATAAAATAACGTTCATTAACATGTATAATAAAACGCTTTCAGAATGTTTGGAACATAATCTATACTATATTTTCAAATTTAAAGAAAAGGCAATACAATGTACATAGTTAGTCACTTAGTTTAAAGGAAAGGGAATACAATGTAAAAAGTTATTGGCTTATCTAAATGTGAAGGGAACACGATGTACAGTTAGTGGTTAAGTGGGAAAAAAGAAAACATTAAATTGAGAATGGAAACGTGGAATGTGTCAAAGAGACAACAATCCGACCAAAGAGGAAAAACAGCTAAAAGCCACCAATGGGTCTTCAACACAGAGAGAAAATCCCGCACTCGGAGGCGGGTTTCAGCTGGCCCCTAAAAAAATGTATACTAGTTCACCGAAAATGGACGTCACACATAACTCCGAAACATATAAATGAGCCAAAATTTAAAAAAAAACATACAAGAATAACAAAGGCCAGATATTCCTGTCTTGGGACAGGCGCAAAAATGCGACGGGGTTAAACATGTTTTGTGAGATTTCAACCCTCCCCTATATCTCTAGTCAATGTAGAATAAACAAACACACAGTAATACGCACAGTAAAACTCAGTTTAAAAGAAGTCCTAGTCCGATGTTAGAATAGGTAACAGAAGAAACTAAGCAAAATGACAATGATCAACATAAATTAACAAAGGACTACTAGCAGTTATTCACATGCCAGCTCCAGACCTCAATTAAACTGATTGAAAGATTATGTCTTCATCATATGAAAATCAAGCACAATCCCTCCCGTTAGGGGTTTAGTATCATACCATCATAAAATATACGAGAAGAACATAACCCATATCATGCCAACAACTGATTTAAGAACAAATGTGCTTATTTCCGATACAAAGACCCTATGAGTGAATCAATATCAATTCCAAAAATTGCCATCTTTAATGACCTGACAAACAGTATCGTAACTATATCCCTTCTGAATAAGTCTGTTTAAAGGTTTTGTTATCTTTTGAGGTGAATGGCCAGATTTTTGTGCTTTGTATAGAATATTACCATAACAGATGGGATGTGAAATACCTGAACGTATAAGATGTCTGCACGTTGATTTATATTTACGAATGATGTCCTTGTACCGATGATAAAATTAAGGAATTGTTTTGACAAGTTTGTGATATCGAAAACCCTGGTGTAATAATTTTTCAGTAATACAGAGATTTTGTTCGTACACAGTTTGTGGTTTAATTGAAAGAAGAGGAAACACAATGTACACAGTTAGTGCTTTAGTCGATAGAAAATGAAACACAATTTATACAGTTAGTGCTTTATTCGAAAGAAAAAGAAACACAATTTGTGTAGGATGTAACTACATGGATTTAAGATTGCGTTGTAAACTTATCACGGTATTAAGAACCACATTTTTTTTAATTTTTTGTCTAATTGAAAGTAACTTTTCTTTAAACAAATATATTCTTAAAAACAGGGAATTTAATAGCAGGAGATATAAAAATCATTGTGAAAACTAATTACACACACTTTTTAATTTGGGACACAAAATTTTATTTCATTCCAAAATAGCCATCAGCACTTTGATTTCAATATCTTGATTACGATGCAATTAAAGTATAACCCTTGTGCCAGTTGTGGTAATTCGTTGTAAAAATAAGGAGATGTGGTATGATTGCGAATGATCCCATGCACCAGAGTTCAAATTAAGTGGATGTAGGCAATTATAGGCCACCGTACAGCCTTCAACAATGAAAAAACCCAATCCGTACAGACGGCTATAATAGGTCTTGACAAAAAAAGTGAAACAATTCAAGTGAGAAACAACGCATAGTTTCTAAGGAAAATAAAAAGGCAAATTTAAGCAATTTGTTTGGACGAGGAGTTGTAAGTATTGCTGAGATTTGCTTGTAATAAATGACACATCGTCATTGCGACCTTGTGGTGATATCATAAAATCTGCGTTTTATGGCGTTCTTCCTCTAGTATCTTTTTTTAGCTTTTTAATTTAAATCTTTCACTTTTACAACTTTAATGGCCCTTTTATAACGTTACCATGTGATATAACTATTTTCTCAATTTTGTGGCCGTATTTCTATCTGTAGTTTAAATACTCGTTCGTTGGTAAATTTGGGATAGTTGTCCCATTGGGAATCATATTATATCTTCTTTTTCTTTAGACTTCTACAAATTGACCAGGTGTCGCGGACTATTTGTTGTCTGCATAAAAAGCAGAGACTATGTGATAAATAAAAGATTAATTTGAGAAGTTTTGTAAAACTTGAATATCAAAAATTTTCAGAACTGTACATTACTAATTCAGATGTGCAGAAATAGAATTCCATAGGGAAATATTGGTTATCATGTAGACTTTCCCACTTGTACTTGCTCTATTACAAAAGGAGTTGGTCAAACTAAAATATAGAATATATAATTCAACTGTAGAATATTACAGCGATCGTTTGGTTCAATGGTAAGAATTTCAAGAAGTACATTTAGGAAATTTTACTTTTGAGCTAAAGAGGAATTAATTATATTATGCATTTTTTTCTTGAAAAGTTGGATTAAAACTGTATATTTAAATAATGTCTTGGATATATATACGAAATGTTTTACAGCCTCTGTTGACTTGAACATGTTAAAGCATCATTTACATCTGACATTATTAAAAAAAATGACATCATAATAATATAGAAAGCATGTTAAAAAATATTCAATATTTTGTTGATACCGCTTTTGCACAAACTGTGAACTAAATTGGGAACTGTATTTTGAATCGGGGTTGCCATGGGAATTCATTTCTAACTGTGTTCATGAAAATGTTGCTGATAGAAAAGCAGCACATTCTGTAATGAAAGCTACTACACATTATTTGCTATACAGAAGATAGACTACAAATGAATAGATCAAATGGTAGTTGTCCTTTCTGTCGTGAACAAGAAATATTATTTGTATCTTTTTGCTAACTGGTAATTAGTTGAGGAAATTTGGATTGGTTTTTTTTATATGGTAAATTAATTGTTATTACTAATTTACCAAAGACATAAAAGATAATAATCCTGGGTATGAATATAAAAAAGTTATGCAAACATGAACATTATTGATACTGCACTTATTTTCTAAAAAATCAGATTATTTGTAAAAATAAGGATGTAGCAAATATCAAAGAAAGCTACTTTAAAGATCGAATATATAGGTAGTAAAGTAAAACATGAAATCAATCTTATTTTTTACATGTATTTAACGTAAATTAAGTGATGACGTGTGTTCAATCATTACAAACATATTTTGGTTTTATTAGCTCTTCAACGTTTGTATTAGGATTTGGAAGGTCAAATTTTTGGCCTCGAGCATCATTGAAAAATTGTTACGATTTATGTTATTGACATAATATAGTGTTATTGCTGATGTAATGAGGGCTTATTCTAAATAATCAGCCGTATTCAAATCTTTAAATCGGTGAGTCTAAAATGCATGTGTTATTATACAAAATTGATTCACAAATATATTTTCTATTTTCCAGTACAATGCAAGGAAAAAAATATTCTTCAAACAGAATTGGAAGATTTCACTATTTGCGGAAACGAGGAAGTCAATGAAACAATTTTACTGGGGAAAAACATTTAGAGTACATTCCGTTATATAACATGTACGTAAGTCTTGTTTAACAGCTTTTGTCATAAAATCTATTGTGCAAATGTTTTTTTTGGGGTTTTTGCCAAAGAAATGGAATGAAAATTGATTCGACTAAAGTAGATCAGGGGTCTGAATTAAAATTTATAGAAGTTTATTTGCAAAAATTTAGTTTATATCATGCTTTTTCCAATACAATATGATAAAAGGTATGGGCAACAGATTTTTTTTTTCGAGCTACAGGATACACAAAATTGTAAGATTTTTGTATAGATGATCCTAGATTATACATGGAAAAACAACTTTGTGTGATAGAAAGAAAACTAAATGATAAAATTTGAAGAATATGAGAAGATAATTCTTATATAATTTGCTTTCAGAAAATAGAAATAAAATTGGGGTCATGGAACTCTTGTGTTTTCTTTGTTACTATGCAAAAAAGATAAAGGAATAGAGCTAGTAACCTCAATAAACGGCCGTGTAAAGGGGTATTATTTTTTTGCATTCGATTGCTTGAGTAAATCTTATGTGTATGTATTACAAAATGTTTTATTTTTGTATGCATTGTATATCTGCTTCATATCTATAAATATTTTAGCCTGAAATGGGAAAAGATTAAGTTTTATTACAGTTTCTAGAAACTAGTCACCTTTTCGACCTATCATTCTGATTTCATATGTGGCGCCAACCCCCGCCATTGAAATTGTGGTTGAAAGATAAAGCATATGATATATACAGAATATTTAAGGCAAAACTATTTGTGAGCAAGGGGTGACGCCACTGTTATTTTTCGGAAACCTATCATAGATTTTGCTACATTATGCACAAAAATCAGGTTTTAACGAAAATCACCTATATTTATGACGTCACAAATACATAACTAATGACACAATTAGTCAAAATCTATTTTAACTGAAAGATATGGATATTTTAACATAGGTTTGCAACATATTTTAATAGCATGATTGCAGTTAAAAAATTAGTGAACCAACTCCTTCTAAACACATTCTTTTATAAAAGTAAAGTTATCCCTGTTTATGACAAAGTTAAAAAAAAATAGTCTGATACAAAAAAAGTTCTCATTATTTAAAAAACAATTTAAAAAAAAACAGAGTGCGATGTATAGCAATTTATGTCTTAGGTAATGAATATTCTTGCATATGAGTTTGGATTAGTTTGGAATCTTTCGTCTCTCGTTTGCTTACCATGTATTTCCATATGTATTTTTCTTGATATGCCATTATTTCAGTCTTAATTACTTTTGGTTACCCTATAACAAAATAAGGAGATGTTGTATGATTGCCAATGAGACAACTATCCACCAAAGTTTAAAAAAGTGGATGTAAGCAATAATAGGCAACCCTTGCTGCTTTCTAAATTCAATTTCAGCATTCAATCTTTTAAATTTTACATTTAAATTCTACATTTGATTTGCAGTATTAATTTATTGAATTGGAGGCAGTAGTCTTATTCAATTTCAGCATTCAATTTAAAGCATTTAACATTCGTTTTTAACGTTCGGTTTCAACTTTTATAATCATATCTAAACATTCGCGATTTTCAACATAATCTGACTGGGGTATAGAAATATGTTAAACTGGACTTCTGTCATTAGGCAGTAAGACTTATGTTCCATTTCTGAACTACAAACCCGTCTCTATTTCGTTAGAAGACGACATGGCCGGATTCTTCTTATCACTGAAGTTTTACTTTCTGTGAATAACACGACGGGTGCCACAGATAGAACAACTAAGCTAACTATGCTTGTTTTTAAAGGGTTCGTTTTGGCTTTGCGTTAGGTTCCATAATGTTTGCTATTCAATTTTGCAATGTCTGCTTCTATAGTTAATAGTTTAGCCTTGCCTTCCCATGTTTTCATTTCAGTTCATATTTGATTTAATTTTAAGGTAAGTGAATTTGCCCATACCGATTGTTAATGAATCTCGGGATGTGTTAAATTGAAACAAGAGTTATTTTTCCATCTGTTTTACCTTATACGTTATCTAATCTAGATTTACACGGTTGGTGTTGATCGTAGAGTAGAAATCGCATGCAACTGAGTTAATTCGTCCCCCCTTTTTTTGTAGTTGAGTCAATGTTGTGCAATTATTAGTTTTCTACGTAGTGTTTTGAGAATCACCGTTTATCTTACATATAACTATTGTTAATGATTTTTGGGAGTTCTTAAATTCAAACAAAAGTCAATTTCCTATCTGTGTTTTCTTATCACCAAATGTTACACTTTATCTAAACTAGAGGTACATTGTGGGTGTCGATAGAAGAGTGGAAATTGCAGGCAATTGAGTTAGTTTATCCCCGTTTTCTTGTAGTTGCGTTTATGTTGTGCAATTATTAGTTTTCCGTGTAGTGTTTTTACAGCCGATATCAATGAGTGTGTAGGCAAAGGTAATATCTTTGGTTAGCTTGTGTGCTAGCTGAACCGTGAAGTCATTGATAGGTTAGGTAAACTACCCTCCTTTAAGATTAGACTAGTCCGACAGATAACCAATCTATCTGTCTATAGGACTAGGCTACTTTGAACGGAGGGTAGTATATCTTACCTAACAATGACTTCACGGTTCAGCTAGCAAGCAAGCTAACCAAATATATTACTTTTAGCTACACACTCATTGAAATCGGCTGTAAAACTACCGTATGCCTTACGTCGCTTTTTCTAATTTTAGTTATCCATTGCCCCTATGAGACTTTATCCCCTTATCATGCTGACGTCTGTTTCAGACAGTAGCTTCAGGTCTTTGTACATTAAAACCCATGGCACCTCTTTGTGACATTTGTCAATGGCATGGTGGTAGGTTAAGTTTTAACTCATCCAACATTTATCATTTTTTCAATATTAGTTATAACTTCCCGCCCTGAATATCGATTAGTCCCGTTTTGTTTATTATATTTCATTTACCTGCATATAAAGCAAAACACAACAAAAAAGCTAATACTACTCAACGTGTACTTTAGACCTTTATAGAATGTTCATCGATCTATGTACCCTTCCATAGCATCTGAGATCACCATCAGTTTGTGATGGGGTTCGTGTTGCTCAGTCTTTAGTTTTCTGTGTTGTGTTATGTAGACTGTTGATTGACATTTGGTCTGTTTTATTTGCTATGGTGTTGTCAGTTTGTCATTGACTTGTGAGTTCATATATCAATTTGGAATCTTCCACCTATCTTTTAAACACTTAACTTGAAAAAAAAATATATATTTTCAAAATTCGATAGGTTAATATAAAATATTCAACATTATTTTGCTTTTCATAATTTCGTATGCTGTTTAGAGATATTTAACGTTCGATTTCAAAATTCGATTTTCAAAAATCAACATTCAATTCAACATCTGTATAAGTCAACACTCGATGTTTGTAACGTAACATTCCATTTTCAACATTTAAAACTCGGTGCCATTTTATTATGGTGGCCGTGTACAATACGTTTTTTTCTTGTACTGTTTTTTTTTTTTTTACTTTTGATGCATGTAATTTACTAAAGTGCAGCCAAAAAATAATGAGATAATGAGTGTGTAAGATTGCATGATTTATATCAGGATGTCAAGTACTTGCTCTCCGTAACTACATGATCTTATATGTATAATTGCTTATCATTGCATAGCTTGAACGTATGCTTTTGTTTTCTCTTATACCGCTATTGTAGAGTTTATTCTTCCCCTGAACTGATTTGTTTTTAACTTAATTATATGTACGTTGTGTTTTTATATACCGATGATTTAGATTCATAGAAGAAGGCATATCTAAAAATATTTAACTGTTAAACTTTTTTATCTGCCTATCTGTAGTCAGGAACATTGGCCGTGTTTGTCTCCTGTGTTATCGTAATTGTTATGCTTCGAAAACAATAGTATGGGATGTTATGCTTGTTTTCGGTCTGTGTGTCCGCCTGTCTATTAGTCGGTCTTTCCCGTATCAGATTACATTTTCGGTTAAAGATAGGTTAACATGAAAGGGTGATCGCATCAATTTAAAACTATTTCTTTATAGAGTGATGTTACAACTGCTTTATCAAAGGAATAGAAGTCCTTAAAAATATCTTGTTTTAAAAGGACAAATTGTACTTTGTTTAAATCATTTTTGATTAACTGGTATCAACATTATTCATTATTTTCTTAATCTAAACATATTTGTTAATTTTGGTAGACTTGATTTTCACAAGTCAAAACTCTTATTAAATCTTACTGCGGTCCTCTTTGGTCTATCATCTTTATGATAATATATTGTACTTGATTCGACTACCAGGGGCTTTCAAAGAAGAATGAAAGACAGTTCACATCGTTCTTCAGTATTCGCTAAAAATTTTGTCGTTTCTATGAATATTTTAAACTTAAGGTACTAAGTCGATCGCATCTATCCAATTGATATTGAAAAATAGCCTATGTTTGCTTCATATCTTCACTTAAACCTAGGAATTGACGATGAAGGTCGGTTAAGAACTGATTTCTTTTGACATTAAAGCTCAATGTTTCTTATGTGAACCTTCCATTCTTCTAAAACAGAATTCAAGCAGCGCCTGTTCATCTCTTTCTTGATATGACAATCCATGGCTTGCGTTTCCTGTCGAAATTGATTGAAACCAAGAACACGCTCGAACCTATACACTCCTAAATATTTATATTCATTATCTTTTTCAAAAAGACCATTTTCATACGAAACAGTTATGATTCCTTGGTGATTTTTTGAAAAAAAATGGCATATGAGGTTTGTTTTACCTGATCAATTCAAATATGTAATAAAATACACCTTCATGTGCTACTTTTAGAAAAATAAAAGTGGTCATTTCTTTTTATGTGATATTTGCTAGGTTGTTTAGACATTTGTTTAAATTGTAGAAATACCTATTTGTTTTGTTTCACAAGCGTTTTTTGTTTTTTTTGGTAAAACCATTTGGAATTCTTTGGAATTATTCATATTTATTCAATTGACATGATTCTATAATAAACTGGCATTTTTGCTGTCTAAAAGAGAGGCGAAGGATACCAAAGGGACATTCAAACTCATAAGTCGAAAAATAAACTGACAACAACATGGATAAAAAAAGAGAAAGACAAACAGACAAACAATAGTACACAAAACAACATAGAAAACCAAAGACTGAGCAACACGAACCCCACCAAAAACTGGGGGTGATTTCAGCTAGTCCGGAAGGGTAATTATTTATTTTCTTAAAATTCCATCGATGATTTTTCCCCCTCATTTTTCGGGTTTATTCTTCGTTGAATTATTAAATTCGTAGTTTGCTGTTACCCACGAAACCCCTGAAATTGGTATATCACGAATAAAAGGGAATCCACACTGTTACAGTATTAAATGTAAAACTTAAATGTAGTATATTTAAGCCAAATACGGTTGAAGGGTGAAAATGGAATGTTCAATGTTGACTGAAAATTTGAAGTTATACTTTGCTGATATATTTTTGAACCAATATGATCCAAGGTATGATGTATGTGTGATAAAGAAGCCAGCTATCCTTAAATAATGTTTTCATTCTTAATAAATATATGTCTCGAATTACTAGCATTGTAGGTAGTGACCCTTATTTCAATTTTTACCTGTAACGATAAGCCACGCTTATAGTAAAATAAACGCAAAAGATACCAAAGGGACATTCAAACTCATAAGTCGAGAATAAACTGACACCACCATGAAAAAAACCCGAAAAAGGAGAGACAAACAGCAGTGTACAAAACACAACATGGAAAACTAAAGACTGAGCACCACAAACACCACCAAAAACGGAGGTATTCTCATGTGCTCCGGAAGCGTAAGCATATCCTGCTCCACATGTGTCAACCGTCGTGTTGCTCATGTAAGAACAAACCGGTAATAAATCAATCGGTAGGTCATTTTCGGGTCAAAGAGGACGGGATTGTGGTTACGACAATTGGACCATATCCGTCGTCACCTGTGAAACAGGTATTCCATAACGGTCAACTAACTCATGATAGCGTCCGTAAAATTTTCGGAGGAATGATTTCAACTTCATCACGTGGAACCCTTTGTTTAATGGATTCCGTGTGAGCAGTGCCTTTCTATCAAGGAAATCATGATAGTAAATGAAAGCCCTAGAATATCTGGGAGATATATACGCCATATGCAGGCGGTGTTGGAATGTTGCTATATAGAAATGGAAAGTTCACATTTGGGAAGCTGAAATCATCTGTTTTGTCATGAAATGTGTTCTCAACAGACCCTCATTGTCAATTTCTAGATGTAAATCAATATATGAGGCAGACTTAACTGTAGCTGTTGTATCCCTTATTTCAAAGTCGATGGGATAGATGCTTATAACATAGTCACCAAACTTTGAATTATTTAGTGAGATGACGTCATCTTTATAGCGGCAAAATAAGTTAAAGGATAATGCTAATTTTTTATTCTTCCAAAGAAGCTCCTGCAAGATGTCAGCATCATATGAATAAAGGAACAACTTGACATAAAGAGGAACACAGTTGGTTCCAATTGGAATGCCGATTGTTTGTTCAAGAGCATGTCCTACAAATAGGTTGTTAATCAAGGAATCAAGCATCTTGATAATGACAGTTTCAAAGAATTTTTTTGTTTGAATCAGAGTGATTTTTTTACAAAATACGATTTATCCCTCCCTAGAACAAGATACTTGGCCATTCGTTTTTATGAAACAAAGCAGGAACAATTCTTTTAATTTGTTTTTGAGTATGGGATAAGGAATACTTTTTTAAAGAGTAGAAAAGTCAAATGTTTTAATACTATTTGCAATTTGAAAGAGTTTTAGATTGTATGCACTCTAGCCGATCTCTGGAATTGTTACATATCCACATCTGATTCACACCACCTCTAGAATATGTAGTATCACAATAACTTTCAAATAAATGACATTTAGGAAATGGCAAGTATTAATTTATGTTCTACTAAAGGAATCACATATTTTTTTCAAATAAATCACTAAGAAATCCTTAAAAAATATATGTCAAAGTCTGATTACATACGGTTTTTTTTTTTTGTTCTACCAGGCCAGCTAAGAAACAGATTAAAGGTCAGTGTTTTATTTGTTTATGTAGTATTGATTCAAGCTGAATGTTAATACACAATGATGAAATGTCGGATATAAAGATTGGATGGTAATTCTGATAACATGAGCCGTATGTTTTGTACATTTGTATAATTACATTACATGCATATCTTATTAGAATCGCTGATAACAATCGCGAGGCGCTCGACCCAATATCATATTTCATTTCCGTATGAAATACAAAAGCTATGACTGCACCTGCTATCCGTGAGAATGTTTAAACAATACATAGAACACAAACGAAAAGCTTGATATAACTCTCAATTTCATGGTTGTAGCACAAGAATTAATTATAAGATTCGAATGCTTCTATTTATAATGTTATAGGATTATAAAAATGTTGATCTTGTGCACATTTTTAGTATGGCGCACCACAAAATGTGCTTCGGTCAACGATTTTACACCAATGAAATCATAATAAAGTTTTCAATTTTTAAATAAAATATTTGTTGAGTTGTTTAATAATGTTCGTCGATTGATAACTTTCTAACCAGCTAGATGCCCATTTTCCAAGATGTTGGTGCACAGCGTTTGGTAATATCAGGTTTGACATTAAAAAATCAATTTCAACGAGATAGTTAAGTACATGCATACAAATACGAATACGAACATACGATTGTGAGAGCTTTAACTAGATTCGGTTTAGTTATCAACCACAAAACATAAGCTCTAGAGAGCTTTTAACCGAACAAACATAAATATTCACAACCGTTTAAAAACACAATCATGCAAGCAAAACTAAAAATATAGAGTGTACGCATAGAATTAAGCACAAACATTGCAAAGCAAAGTATACATGCTGACATAACTATAAAAGAGCACAGTAATGTAAAAAAAAGCAAAGTGAAATAAAATGTAACCCTATTTACATACAGAATTGTGACATTCCGAGCCATTCAATGACTATATAAGACTCTTGAACTGAAGGAAACTGTTCTATGAAATAAAAGACAAAATTGATATATTTTATCGAAAAAAAAATTCAAAAGTGAGTGTGAACATTAAGTTCGTCGACAGTAAAAGCATCTCCTTTTATGCAAATTATTGTACAGTTTTATGCTTTTTATGGTCACACTAACGAGTCCGTGAAGTAGCAACAACATATCTTATTCGAAGATAAAAAAAAATCCTGGTGGTAGCGGAAAACATATCTTATCTACCAATTATATTTTCTTTTCTGTAGATTTTATTTCATTTACAAAGACAGGGCGTTACAAGGAGTGTAGAAGAGGCGTGCAACAACTATTTTCAAAGAGAGTTTTAAAGGAAGAGGGAATTTGGTAGTTGTGTAATGTCTTCAGTTAACGAATATTAAAGAAATGTTCAAACGGACACAAGTTATACAGAAATACAGATATATTACCTTATTAAGGACTGTTTGATAACATTTAAGATGCATTTTATGTAAAATGAAAAAAAAAAGTGAAAAGTTGTGTGTCAGAATGATTGAGTGTAACCTTAGATGCTGTATTTTCGTATTAATCATAAAAATTCTATTGCTTGTTTTCTTTTATATCTAAAGCAACATAAGTGGCAAATAAAGGCAACAGTAGTATACCGGTGTTCAAAAGTCATAAATCGATTGAGAGAAAACAAATCCGGGTTACAAACTAAAACCGAGGGAAACACATCAACTATAAGAGAAAAACAAAGGAACAATAGGAACAACAAAAACAAACGCCAACATACATAAAAACGAACTATTTGATAACAACTGCCTTATTCCTGAATTGGTACAGGACATTTAAAGAAAAATGGTGGGTTGAACCTGGTTTTATGGCTAGCCAAACCTCCCGCTTTTGTGACAATGTTAAAAAATATAGCTAAAATGACAACACTACGTGACAGCAATACAGCACAAACACACGCAAGAACACTAATCACAGAGAAACGCACAAACAAATAATATTATAGTCGACACAACATGCAAACCGCAGGACAACAACGAACATCTTCCATCAACGACAGACACCACAGGACATCGAAAACAGTGACGCACTTACGTAACGAACATGCAATTTCGAACTTTATACAATTATTTTCACAATACCAGTCCAAATAATTTTCATGACAATGATGGTATTGAAAGGCAATTTTATAATTTGGACTACAAACGATAAAACATAACACATTATCCAACCGAAACAATAACAGAAACATCATTGTCCGCCGAACTAACTTGACCTTCAAATTTGGTTATTTACTTGCTAAAACGTATATCAGAATTACTCACCGAAACAATAAACAATACATGAAACAGTTATAAAGTAAAACATTTTGGAATCAGACGCTGTTTAAATAACCAATCGGACGCTGTATATTAACCATCAACAAAACCTCAAAGATTACCGATAGGCATATGACTTAGATGTATTGTAAAAATATATAATAATATGAATAACATGTCTAATAGTATAGATTGATTGATTTGATTTTTGGTGTTTTAACGCCACTTTTAAGCACCGCTTTTGGGCTATTTCGTGGCGGCCAGTTTTTATTGGTGGAGGAAGCCGGAGTGCCCGGAGAAAACCACCGACCTTCGATAGGAAAACTGACAATCCTAGTGAATTAAAATTGGAGTCGAGTGCACCCGCACGAGCGGGGTTCGAACTCACAACCTCAGTGTTGACTGGCTAGTGATTACAGTAGTAACTACTTAGACCACTCGGCCACCGAGGCCCCCATTAATAGTATAGATGGTTTAGATATATGCCTTGTGCTTGATATGGTACCTAAGAAATAAATCTGACCATTGGTGACCTTTTGTACCTTTGGTTCACCAACGGTTTTTGTTCATTTACTATCTATGGGTGACAAGGCATACGGATGAAATGTTTCAATGTAGGTAAGATAAGTAGAAACAATAGGTTTCCAAAGAGATTGGAGTGCACTAGATAGTTATAGAATAAAAGTAATAAAATTGAGAATGGAAATGGGGAATGTGTCAAAGAGACAACAACCCGACCATAGAGCAGACAACAGCCGAAGGCCACCAATGGGTCTTCAATGCAGCGAGAAACTCCCGCACCCGGAGGCGTCCTTCATCTGGCCCCTTAACAAATATGTATACTAGTTCAGTGATAATGGACGTCATACTAAACTCCAAATTATACACAGGAAACTTAAATTAAAAATGATACAAGACTAACAACAGTACGCGCAGTAAACTCAGTATAAGAGAAGTCCGAGTCCGATGTCAGAATAGGAAACAAAAGAAAATAAACAAAATGACAATAATACATAAATAACAACAGACTACTAGCAGTTACTGACATGCCAGCTCCAGACCTCAATTAAACTGATTGAAAGATTATGTCTTCATCATATGAATATCAGGCACAATCCCTCCTGTTAGGGGTTTAGTATTCTACCGTCATAAAATATATGAGAAGAACATAACCCGTGTCGTGCCAACAACTCGTTTTAGAATAAATGTGTTTATTTCCGATGCAAAGACCCTATAAGTGAATCAATATTAAAGCCAAAGTATGCAATCTTTAATGACCTGACAACAGTATCGTAACTATATCCCTTCTTAATAAGTCTGTTTAAAGGTTTTGTTAGCTTTTGAGGTGAATACTGACATTTTTGTGCTTTGTAAAGAATATTACCATAACAGATGGGATGTGAAATACCCGAACGTATAAGATGTCTACTTTAGCGTTTTATGATAAATTGATTGGTCTGCTATAGCTTACTGCAGACTTTTCATCAAAAGAAAAGTCCAGTCAATGATATTTAATTTGGAGTGGGTCTCGAAATTGTAGTTACATATTCCATGGAAATTTTCACAGACATGACGCTTTTCGCCCCTTAAACATTTCAAAAATAAAATATGCAATACTAATTTGGAAGTAAAGACCAAGCAATTCGGAGCCTGGGTGACGGAGAAGAACAATGAAAGAAAATAAAGAAGGGATTATTTGGGATAGTACAAAGAAATAATGGGGTGATAAAGGACAGCTACTGTCCTATAATTCCACTATGGACCTACAGATACCTACGTTTTGACATTTTTTGCACTAGGTTGTTCAATTTTGTTGAACAATTAACCATGCTTTACACTAACGTTCTATTGGGAGGGTCCATTTATCAATTTCTTAAAGGGGTCAAATTTAATTTATTTGACGACCGAATAATCATTTATCATTTCTGTATCCAAATGTACCAAGAATATCGTTTATAAATATTTTTCTACCCATAGGTACCCTTACGGAGCAAAGTGTACCTGAAGTTTAAACATGGGTATTCCAAGTTCAATCATGGTTCATGGGGTCAAGGATTTTTAAAATGGGGGCGTAATTCCCTAAAACTTAAAATAAAAAAACATTTGGACGATCTTATGTTAATAATAAAAATATTTTCCAATCAAAGGGGTGCGTACGCCCTCTACGCCCAAACCCCCCCCCCTTCCCCCCCCCCCCCCCCCCCCCCCCACTTTTGAATCCACCACTGTGGTTAATACGTGTTCAGGTTACTAAATATAGAACAAGATTGTAAAAAGTACACTCTCGATATTTTATCACGTTCTCAAATCGTCCCACAAGAGTCGACCTCAGGTCATTTTACCTGAAAAAGTCTATGTCATAGATATATCCCCCTTTGTATATCATTGTAGAATAATATGTTCATAACTTATCAGCTTCGTACAAGACCATTTTACCAAATTACCTGATGCAATTCGTCTCTATTGTATAGATTAGTTGTTAGAATAGAATATAATTATGTTTCTCTGATTCTTTGGCAATTTAAACCTTTCAGGACCCATTGTTTAAGTATTAGATACAAAACAAAGGTAACAAAGAAACAGGCCGGTAACAACCGTTGCAGGATAGTTTTTCTGCACGAGTAGTGAGGTGAAGGTCCGAGGAGATAGCCGAGGACTTTGACCTGACTACAAGTGCAGAAGAACTATACGGCAGTTTGTTTCCGGCCTGTTTTTGTGTACCTTTGTTTTGTATCTGACATGCACGACGTTTCAAGAAAGTGGTACATTTTGCATTGAGAAGAGGTAGCAAAATAATACAGGTTAGAAACTTAAATGGCCATATACCAGTTAATGTAAGTTACAGTTTAAACAAACTTTTGTTTTCACTTTCCTTCAGCCGAGAGTTTTTTTCTCAAGAAATTCAAGAATCTAATGATAATATAAAAAAACAACCAAGTCAAGTAAAAGATGAATGTCGTACACATTTGAGACTTTTAAAATGCAACTTCCCAAATAAGAAATGTATGAAAAACATTTCAGAGGTAAGCAAGCTAACTTTTGATTTTTATTTTTTTGGAAAAACGGAAAAGTAGGGAGGGGGGTTAAAATAAATTTAAAATAAACAGGCTTGATCCTTTTTTTGTTGAAAAAATGCAGAATGTGCCATTCCATTCCCCCATTCTCCCTTAAAAAATAATAAAAATCGTACGTTTGCTCCCAAATATATGAATTCAATATATATGAATTCAATAACAATATAAATGTATAAAAAGAATGAATTTCTTATTTCATTAGTGAATGAAATGATATGAAAAAATGGATTTTGTCTTGTTATTAGATATATATAGGCATATATTTTGGATTTTTTTTTTAAATTTCATGCTTATAGGTTTTTATTTGTCTCTAATAGTGTCGATCAAGATTAGACACGTGTCACAATATGATCCAATCGCAGCTTACACGTCCAAAATAGGTGACATAAGTTGAATGATTTTCTTAAAGATTTGCTGCCTATTTGAACATGTTTTACACGGACACTTTTTATTTATAGGATCAATCGTGCATTGGTGGGTTGATAGGGATTTTATCTTTTGATTAGATTTGATTTTTTTATTTCCTGCCTTTTTTATTGAAATATAAACGTCGGTACCAGCATTTCTTTACTTTCAGCATTGTCCAGAATACTATTCATGTCCATATATTGAAAAAAAATACATTTACGGACCGACCATTTAGCTTTAAAAGGGGGGTATGTTTTTTTCTGAGTAAGAAAATTATTTGTTTTTTTCAATGCTATCACCCAAATAATTTTTTTCGAAATTAGCACTATTATATACGGTATTCGGAAAATCAGGAATCAGAACAATATTTTGTCTGCTTGACCACAATATATATTTTTTCTCATAAAATTGGGGATCAGAATATTTTTTTAGGAAAAAACCATAACACCCCCCCCCCCCCCTTTTGAAGTTAAATGGTCAATCCCTTAGTGTACTGATATGAATAGTTATACACTGGAATTGTTTAAAAGATATAGTTATTGATGCCAACGTAAATATTTTAATAAAAAAGACAGGAAATATGTCGGTGAAACAAAAAGTTCAAATCTAATTGAAATTTAAAGTGCCCATGAACTCACTGATCATGCACGAGTGATTCTATTTATAAAGAGTGTCCGTGTAAAAACTAAACAGTGTCCGTGTTTAATCTAAAAAGTGTCCGTGTAACACCCGTTAATGTACTATTTTTCTATAGCTCTGCTGGGGGCAAAGTCGTACAATATATAAATAGCA